CCAATGGTAAAAAAAATCGTCCGATTTTCATCCCGTCTACAGCCGGCAAAAAGTGTCCCTGCAGAGAGCTCTGCTATTTCTGACAGTTCCCTGACAGTTCCTTGACATTTACAGCGGTTGCAACATTGTATCTATTTGTTTCCATTTAGGATACAGATGTTTTTATTCGGAAACAAATAGATACAATGTTGCAACCGCTGTAAATGTCAAGGAACTGTCAAAGAAATAGCAGAGCTCTCTGCAGAGACACTTTTTGCTGGACTGGAATTCCTCTTATTTTCATCCTACTTCTTCTTCTTTTTCATCCTCATCCTCTTCTTCTTCTTCATCCTCATCTTCTTCTTCATCCTCATCCTCGTCTTCTTCTTCTTCATCCTCATCTTCTTCTTCTTCTTCATCCTCATCTTCTTCTTCTTCCTCATCCCCATCCTCATCCTCTTCTCCTTCATCCTCATTCTCTTCTCCTTCTTCTTCATCCTCATCCTCTTCTTCTTCTTCATCCTCATCCTCTTCTTCTTCTTCATCCTCATCCTCTTCCTCTTCTTTTTCTTCTTTTTGTCTTCCTCTTGCAGGTCACTGCTCATGCGCAGATTTTTTATCGGTAAAAAAATCGGCCGGTTTGCCCACTAATTGCCGTGAAAAATCGGCCGATCGGCAAAATCGGCCGATTTTTTTCCAACTTTACCAAAAAAAAAAACGGCCAAAATACCGAAAAACCGCCGAACAAAGAGCCCACTAACGATCCGAAAATCGGCCGATTTTATTTTCGGCCGAAAAATCGTCCGATTTTCGAGCCATCTATGGCCTGCATAAAGGAAAGGTGAGTATATGCTGATAGGGGAATGAGGCATTAAACCAGTCAACCTGCTGCTTTTCTCTGCAAGGTTTGATTTTTAAGGTCCTGTTGTCTTTTCATTTTCTTTTTTTTTTTTTTTTTTTTTTTTTTTTTCCCTTTCCTTAAAATGTAATATTTTGAATGTCCTTAACTCCTGAATAGCTACTTTGTTCACATTGAAAGACAGAACTGGAAATATTTTTTCCAGATGTGTTTATGTCTGGGACAAGTCTGCAAGTTTTAACTGTTTAGTACAGATACCTACAGTTGTGACCAAAATTATTCAACCCCCAATGCTGTAAAGGGGTTTAGGGACTATAGTGTACATTTGGAATTGTATTCAGAATCAAATCCTACAAGGACGTTGTAACTACCCAAATGCAACTAAAATGACATCAATTGTTTATGTAATACAGTAGTAAATGGTTCTTATGTGGTTTCTTCATTGCCACAATTATTCAACCCCTTAAAGACTACCACTCTGAAGAACAGAGGTTCATACAGGTGCTTTCCATCAGGTATTGAAAACACCTGTGGATGTCACCGAGCAGCAATCAAGCATAATAAGCACCAATTAGGCAGCTTTAAAATGACTGTGATACTCAGCTCCTTCTAGACATTTACTGGTGTGGTTACAAACATGGTGAAGGCAAGAGAATGGTCCAGGAAGACAAGAGAAGAGGTGATTTCTCTTCACAGGAAGGGCAATGGCTATAAGAAGATTGCAAAGATGTTAAACATACCAAGAGACACCTTAGGAAGCATCATTCGCAAATTCAAGGCAAAGGGCACTGTTGAAACGCTACCTGGTCGTGGCAGAAAGAAGATGCTGACTTCGACTGCTGTGCGCTACCTGAAGCGTAGAGTGGAGAGAAGTCCCCGTGTGACTGCTGAGGAACTGAGAAAAGATTTGTCAGATGTGGGTACAGAAGTTTCAGCCCAGACAATAAGACGCACACTGCGTAATGAAGGCCTCCGTGCCAGAACTCCCAGGCGTACCCCCTTGCTGTCTCCAAAGAATAAGAAGAGTCGACTGCAGTATGCCAAAAGCCATGTGGACAAACCACAAAAGTTGTGGGATAGTGTTCTGTGGACTGATGAAACAAAATTAGAACTGTTTGGGCCCATGGATCAACGCTATGTTTGGAGGAGGAAGAACAAGGCCTATGATGAAAAGAACACCTTGCCTACTGTGAAGCATGGTGGAGGGTCAATCATGCTTTGGGGCTGTTTTGCTTCTGCAGGTACAGGGAAGCTTCAGCGTGTGCAAGGTACCATGAATTCTCTTCAGTACCAGGAGATATTGGATGGAAACGTGATGCAGTCCGTCACACACCTGAGGCTTGGGAGACGTTGGACCTTTCAACAGGACAATGATCCCAAGCATACCTCCAAGTCCACTAGAGCATGGTTGCAGAGGAAAGGCTGGAACATTTTGGAGTGGCCATCGCAGTCACCAGACTTAAATCCGATTGAGAACCTCTGGTGGGACTTAAAGAAAGCAGTTGCAGTGCGCAAGCCTAAGAATGTGACTGAACTGGAGGCCTTTGCCCATGAAGAATGGGCGAAGATACCCGTAGATCGCTGCAAGACACTTGTGTCAAGCTATGCTTCACGTTTAAAAGCTGTTATAACTGTAAAAGGATGCTGTACTAAGTACTAAGATTGAATGTCACTTGGGGGTTGAATAAAACTGATAATGCTGTGAGCACAGAAAAGACATTTGTGGTTATTTCATTATAACTGTTATGTTATATTTGTCTGACCTACAAGTGCCTCTTTAATGTAAATGTAAGCAAGATGACTGAATGATCAAAAGCAATGTCAAACTGGCCAAAACACTCAATTTCAGTGGGGGTTGAATAATTTTGGTCACAACTGTAAATAGAAAAGTAATCCCTAAAATAGTGATGGTAATGATCGTTATTTAAGTGGCAGCGTTTTAAAATGGTGAAAGATTTGCCAGCAGTTGGTGGCTGTTAATAAAAAGTTGTTTTTCTCGGTTTCTCTTACAGCTCGAAAGGTTTACAAGTATGAGAATTAAGAAGGAGAAGGAGAAGGAAAAGCCGTATATGTCACATAGGAATTCTGCCAACTATTCTGACAATCCTCTGCAGACGCTGCAGGAACTCAATGACGAAACTGTGCTCTGGATTTGTTTGAACAGATGTTGGTAGGTTTCACAGCCACATAAATACCATTTTGTACTCTGACAGATGCTCATGATGCTCTAATTTTTACCTGCTTCAGGACAACTGTGATTAAGGAAAGGCTTAAAAAAAAGTTTAACTCTAAAGTAGACCATACTTGATTAATTTTCTTTCATTCTACTCCTTGGTTGAACAAAAGAAAATTAATTGCTTCCCCCTAACACACTCAATGTAGATGGAGGAGTCCCAGTGGAGGTATTGTATTTTGACACGGGTAGGCTTCCCTGCTGTCAGAATACGATCATCCCGACAGTAATAGCTGGTGGCACTGATCAGACGAAAATTTTCTAACAGGCTGGTTGAACGATTTGAGAGATCATCTTCTGTACGAACAGCTTGCCCATAGATAAATTTAAATTAGTCTGCTCCCTGCTGAACCAACCAAAATTCTATCCAGCCTAAATTTTTGGCAAGTCTTAGGGCTTTATAACATTTTCTTATGTAATTCATATAACGCTGATGAAAGAGCGTGCCTTCCAGTGCAAGGGTCTTCGGCATGGCTTTATGCAAGGTATAAGAAACTGTGAATCCATGATGATCTGTGATTATTATGGTACTAATGTAAACGTGGACTGCCCACAGGGGACTGCTTATCAAGAAACCCGGTGGTTGTTTAACTGTCAGCATTATTGGACAGTTGGCCCAATATTGTAAAGCTGTGATCACCAGCCAGTGACTTGGGCCACCTTACATATTTAGCATCTCTAGGACTTTTATATAAAAATGTTTGAAAAAAAAAATCCTCTGTAGTAGTAGACAACCAATCAGGTTTCACCTTTCTTTTTCTTTTGAAAAATGAACCAAGAAACAAAACTGGTTGGTTGGCAGTTCACGATTAATAGAGAACGTTTTTTTTTTTTTCCTTTTTTTAACACCACTTGATTAATACACTTTTCATAATCATGTATACATGCAAATGTTTGCCTCACAAAATTCATGGTGCTGCTACCAGACATAGGATGTACAGGCTAATTAGCAAGTAGAAAAAATGTAGTATTCTGAAATGCTTGTTTGATACCACTCTTAAAGTGTAACTCCAGCCAACCAGTTTTTGAGAAAAGTAGAGATTTATATGTGCATCTCATATACACCTCTCATATTTTATTTCAAAGACTTATTTGCTAGATCTGCCCCATTAACAACATTGTCGTTTGGAGAAAGCCTGTTTTGCTTTGTGGCAGCCTCAGTTTTAACTCAGGTTTCAGAGTTGGACAAATGGCACCAAACAATTGGCTCTGCAGGTGCTACAATGTAAAATTGCCATTTGGCAATTAAATACAAAAATAAAAAAGTAAAAAAAAGTCAGGATACGGCAAAAGCACCTTCTGAATGCCTTCCAGCCGCTGCTATAACAGCAATCAAGCGTAGAACACTTTTCAGATGACGGCCCATAAAGGCAGCAGTAATGTGCAAATGGGAAATCTAGTGCCCCCCTACTCTTCTAAATAAATAAATAAAAAAAAGACAACAGTGATTTAATTGCCATCTGTTCATCTGTGTCCCCCTTAGAGGTTTCTTATCCTTCTTGTCTTTGTGTCTTCTTAACACCAAGAAAGGAAGTGAGGGAAATTCTCCCCAGCAGGACCGCAGAGCACTGTAAAAACTGACAGGTTCTAAACTTCCCCCACTTCGGATCCAACACTGTAAAAAAGACATTTTGACTGAATGTACACTTAAAAAACCATCTCTGTAATGGATTGTAAATAGCTGAATTTGCCTATTAAGCATGTTTATGAAATCTTAGGAAGCTTTTCTCTCTTTCTGTACAGCAAAATGGCCTAGCTAACAGTATAGCACCAAAGGCAAATTAATAATCTATTGCATTCTTTGTAACATCAACATATGTCTATGTAAAGTTGACGTATGCCAATGACAAATTATTACCAGAGAGCAGGGAAAATAGTACTTTACATGTTTCATTTTTATGATTTCTTACATTGTTTTCTCTTACAAATTCTAGAATGACATGAACCTCAATGAGGAAAAGCAACAGCCTTTACGAGCAAAGGATATCATGATAAAAAGAGAGATGGTCTCCCAGTATCTACATACATCCAAAGCTGTGAGTGTTCTTTTACCTTCAAGCCCATTTCCAGACAACAGCTAAAATAGACCCAAAATCTCCCTCTTCCCCTCCATTGTGTGCTCTTTATCCAGCATTGTATTGTTGGTATTCTTCTCATTGCATTGTTGGAGTCTGTGTAGGCATTAAAGAGGCTCAAAAGATCCTGCAGCTGCTGGAGCCAGGAGGAAGGATCTACAGTATGGGCAGGGAGTTATTAAGCAGAGTGGCAATTGTAGTGCAGCTATGCAGAGCTGGTTGGTGCTGGGCAGAGAGTACCTAAACACACTTATTCCTCACTCCCGGGCTCTGCCTCCTGCAGATTACAGGTGTAGGTGGCAGTTAGGAGACTGATTGCCCTTCTCATAGAAAGCAGACACCAGACAGTGAATTGAAGACAATGCTTGACAGGCTACCTATTTATGGGGTTGGGAAGAGCATGTGCAAGACCACTAGAGAAGCAAAAAAGCATGAACATGTGCCAAGTATGCTGCAATAAAGGATAGATGTGCACTAGATATGCTGTAATCTAAGATAGATATCTGCCAGGTTTGTGCAAGGTATTCTGCAATCTAGGATGGACATGTGCCAGATATGCTGCAGTCTAAATAATATATTTAGTTTGTCTGGGGTTCAGCTATAATAATTTATCATATGTTTATAGTGTATGCATCTGTAATGCAACTAGATATTAGTAGGTACAGTAATTTATTTTTTTAGAGCATTCTTTATTTTGTGAAATAAAAATGTTTTACATATTTTTTGAGACATCCAGCATGGTCTAGAACAAAAGCAATATAATAAAAGCCACCCTAAGTTGGAACATTAACCACTTACCCTCCAGAGGATTTACCCCCCTTCCTGACCAGGCTATTTTTTGCGATATGGCGCTGTTACTTTAACTGACAATTATGTGGTTATGCAATGCTGTACATAATTGAAATATATGTCATTTTTTTCCTACAACTAGAGCTTTCTTTCGGTGGTATTTGATCACCTCTGCATTTTTTATTTTTTGCGCTAAAACCTATCCAGTAAAAAAAAATGGAAAAATCTAATTTTATTATTCATTTAGGCCAAAATGTATTCTGCCTCTTGCAAAAAAAAAAATCCAGATACGTGTAAATTAATTGGTTATGTGAACGTTATAGCGTCTACAAATGCCGTTGTATATATACTGGAATTTGTATTTGTATTTTCTTTAATACTAGTAACGGTGGTGATCAGCGACCTATTGCAGGACTGCTGTGGGCATTCTGACACTGTGGTGGGAACTGACTAGCTGCCACTGACATCCCCAGTGACACTACTACAGTGATCAGTGCTAATAAAAAGCACCAACACTGTACTAATGACACTGGGCAGGAAGGGGTTAACATCTGGGGCGATCAAAGGGGTTAACAGTTAAATAGTGTGCTGTGTGTTTTACCATGTAAACATGCATGTCTGCTGTGCTGGCAGGCGAGGCGAGAGACCTGTGTTTATACACAGGCACGGGTCTCTTCCCTGTCAGCTTTACACGGTGATTGCCGGGTGCCGCCGGCGAATCTTTGGCGGAGACCCGGTGACTGACATCCTTAGCCACCAATGGCGGCGCGGGTAGGTTGGGGTGTGCCCCCTACCCGGAAATGTAAATCACGTGTGTATATATACGTGATTTTGTGCAGCCCTGTAGCAGTATTTCTGCTACAGGTTGGTCGGGAAATGGTTAAAATGTAAATAAACAACCAGTTAACAAGGAGGACTTTATATCTCATCCTATAGAAGAACACAAAGTAAGAAACTTCTATTTTATATGTCCAGTCAGAAGGATAGCAATATATGCCATCTACCTCCAGCAGTGTAGGTAACCTCATCTATACATTGGCAATTTCTTTTTAATGAAAACATACCAGGACTGTAATTAGAGACATGTCATAAGGTATGAGGGCTTCTACCTATTTGCTCCACTCTCAGGTAGTTAGATACTGACTTTGCTTGCTCACTCTATATCTATATGTGTGTGTATGTATATATATATATATATATATATATATATATATATATACACACACCTTAAGTGTTTATATTCTTCCATGCACTGTGTAATTCATTGTTTGGCTATCCACTGGTTAGCAAACTTAACATTTTGAAGCAGTATTAAACTTCACTTTTCTTTTTTTTTTTTTTTGAGCTTGTTCAAGTGGTTGCATAATGTGCTAGTATGCACCACATATTGGCAAAGCCCTCCAGCGTCGAGTTGTCACTGCTCCTGGTACTTCCATCTTCGCCCAGTCTCCCTTCTTGTTTTGTGCTCTCTGGCCACTTGTATGGCTAGACCAGGATGACATCACTCTTGGGCATACACAAGGGAGTCATCATCCTGACACAGTACTTTCTGCAATCATGACACATGTAGTGTGCTGTGAATGCACAGTGAACTGAGCATGCGCATGTGAAATCATCGATTAAATCTTTTAAATGGCACCGATTTCAAAGGCACTTACAAATCAAACATTTTATAAGCTTTAAAGCGGTTGTAAACCACAAAATATAAATAAAGACTTCCATCTTTACCCGGTCTTCCTCCTGGGTTCACAAGGTGCGGTCATTTGGCTTATTGGGAGTTTCGGCCACTGCACGACTCTCTGAATGGCCAGCTCGCTGTTTTTTGAGAGTGCAGTGCGCATGCACCAATGACATCACCAGCAGTTCTACTACGGCTAAACAGTGCACATATAGGATATATATACAGTACCTACAGGTATTATTAAAGGCTTACCAGTAGGTAAAAGATACAAATTGCGTTTACTTCCACTTTAAAATAGGGCAAAGTTTTGAAGTTGGGTTTAATACTGCTTTAACTTTCCTCACGTGCCAATGTTTTTTCTAATGAATAAAGTATCAGCCATTTTTTGCGGTGATGCACTGTATTATTTTAACTGACAATTGTATGGTCATGCAATGCTGCACCCAAATGAAATTTACACCTTTTTTTTCCCCCACGAATAGAGCTTTCTTTCGGTGATGTTTGATCACCTGTGCACTTTTTATTTTTAGCGCTATAAACAAAAAAAGATCGACAATTTTGAAAAAATAAACAAACAATATTTTTGACAACTTGCTATAAAAAATATCCAGTAAAAAAATGTAAAAATCAAATTTGGTCATAAATTTAGAAGAGAACTGTTTTGTTTACTAACAGTTTAAACCCCCCCCCCCCCTTGGAGATCCTCGGCAATCACCGGGCAGCGGCACGTAATCACTGGCTGGGACCCGATGATTGACAGCCACGATTGGTGCGCGCCCCCTAGCCAGAAAGTGCATAAGCACGTGTATATATGTGATTTTGCACACCACTGCCGCCCTATAGCAGTATTTCTGCTACAGGGTGGCGCTAAACCAGTTAAAATGATTGTAAATTAAAAGTTTCTTTTTTAAATAACAAGTAGGTTTATACTTACCTGGAGTTGCACAAAGTGGCCCTGGACCTCTTCTTCTTGGGTCTTGGGTCTTTTGGCTCCTCCTCTTCTTGGTGTACCACCAAAGGGAGCCGCTTTCCTATTGTGGCACACCTGCAGATTTAGTCTCAGACCATAGTGCCTGTGTGCGTAAACACAGACCACATGGCTCAGCCGCACTCCCCACTCCTTTTGTCCTAGGATTTGACTGGCATAGTCTCCGTTGCCTCAGCATAGCCTGTGAGAGCTGGGAGAAGAGGAGAGAGCATCTGCTGATGGGCACAGCTCTGGATTAAGTGAAGACTTGGTTAAATATAAGGGGTATAAAGAATGCATTAAGACTTTATAACAATGTTCTTTGCCTTAAAATGGTTCTAAAGTACAGAAAACTGGAGATCGAATTTATTTAAATGGCTTAAATAATGAAATAGTTCTGCCAACTATATCAGTGCTCTTCTCATTTCCCAACCTCTGAAACTACTCACTAGCCAGGTAGCATATGGGTTTCTTGCTTTTAGAATACAGTAGTTGGGAATAATGCCTTTTAATATATGGATTGTAAATGTAAAACCTATAAACTGTGTCTAATGTTACAACATCTTTTCTGTGCACTACAGTAGACTCTTATTTACCTTGTTTTTGTGTCTTATAATACAGGGAATGAATAAGAAGGAAAGTACCAGGTCAGCACAAATGTATATCCAGGATTTGAAATCTGGACTTAATGATGCAAATCTTCTGGCCTGTTTAGAATCTTTGAGAGTGTCCCTCAATAACAATCCAGTCAGGTAAGCAGTGGTGGAACGGATGAACTGAATTTCTCAGATTTCCCAAATTAAAGTTACACCGGGAGATGTTTATTTTCTGCAGCAGTTCATTATCGCTTGTAAGGAGGATTCACCGATAAGATGAGTGGAACTCATGAAATCAGGTTGGATGCAAACACCTGAAGCCTCCTGAACCTTTGCCATCAACCTCAGTCAATAGGAATGTTACCTACACTTAACTAAACAGCTTAAAGTGATATTAAAGGTTCGCTCTTTAAAAATAAATAAAAAACATGTCATACTTGCGCTTTGCAATGGTTTTGCACAAAGCAGCCCCAATCCTCCTTTTCTCAGGTACCCTGCTGGCGCTCCTGGCTCCTCCCCCCTGCTGAGTGCCACCAGAGTAAGCTCCTTGCTTGCACTCGTGCTTGCTTGCTCCTGAGCCACCTCTGTGTGTCTATGAGAGAGACAGAGTATGGATTGGCCCTGCCCCCCACTCCCTCCTCACTATCTGTGATTAACATCAGTGGGACTCAATGGCTCCCGCTGCTGTCTCAGCCAATGAGGAGGAAGAGACCTGGGAAAGCAGCTGCTGGAGCAAGAAGGGGCTCAGGTATTGGGGGGGGGGGGGCTGAGGGGGGAGGTGTGCACAGAGGTTTTTTTTACCTTCATGCTTCAACCTTTAGAACGACTTTAATTCTCAAAACAGTAAAGCATTTTAGCTCAGGGAAGGAAAGTGAGAACCTTGCAATAAAAAAAAAATCACTTTTTATTTATTTGAATTGAATATTAAAAGATTACAGTCATTAAAAACTAAGACAGTTACCTCCTTTTTAAAATCCAGTCCATATTTTCTAAGACCCTTTCCCTCCTCCCCTTTCCTTAACTGAATCACCCATGGGTATTAAACCTCAAAGGTGGAGTAGGGCTTTATACAGTTAATGCTGAAAACTATTAGAATAATAGGAAGAAAGCATTGAGCTTTCAAGGATGGTAAATGGTAATTTACTTCTTTTACCAGAACACGTGCTGTGAGGCAAGTGTAGTAAGGATGAAATTAATACGTCAACCGAGGACTTGTGTGAGTTACATATACAGTTGGAAATGAAGTGTGAGGTGATAGTGGTCACCCTAATAAAGTTCTCTCAGATCAAACCCAATCTCTGCATCTTCAAACCCTAAATCAGTCTTCACTCCTGAACCTTCACACCTCAGATCATCCCAATACCTGCACTTTCACACCCCAGAGCAACCCCGATTCCACGCCTCCAACCACCTCTTATCCTGCACTTTTCCACCCTAGATCAGGCCCAGTTCATGTTTCTTCAGGCCTCAGATCATCCCAAGTTTCTGCATTTTCATGCCCCCAGGTCAGCCACAACTCCTACACCTTCACAACTCGGATCACTCCAATTCCTGCACTTTCACACCCCAGAAAGCCCCAATTCCTGTTTCTTCAGGCCTCAGATCAGCCCCAATTCCTTCAGCTTTACTCTTCAGATTAGCTACAGTTTCTGCACTTTCACACCTCGGATCAGCTCCAATTCCTGCATTTCAGGCCTCAGATCACTCCAATTCCAGCACCTTCACATCTCACACCCAATGCCTGCACCTTCACCCAGCAGATCACCTGAATTCTTGTACTTTCATACCTCAGATCAGTTCCAATTCCAGCACCTCCAGACCTCAGATCAGCCCCAATTCCAGCACCTCCAGACCTCAGATCAGCCCCATTGAATTGAATATTAAAAGATTACAGTCATTAAAACTAAAACAGTTACCTCCTTTTTAAAACCCAGTTCAATACTTCCATATTTCATACACTGTTTAGTTAAGTGTAGGTAACATTCCTATTGACTGAGGTTGATGGCAGAGGTTCAGGAGTCTTCAGGTGTTTGAGTCCAACCTGATTTCATAAGTTCCACTCATTTTATCACCCCAATTCCTGTGCCTTCACACCTCAGATCAGTCCCAGTTTGTGTACCTTCACATCAGATCAGTCCAAATATCTGCACCTTCACACCTCAGGTTACCCTAATTTGTGCATTCTTACAACCCAGATCAGCCCCAATTTCTGCGCCTTCAGGCCTCAGATTAGTCCCAGTTCCAGCATTTTCACATCTCAGATCACATAAATGCCTCCATTTCTCTGCATATCATTTCCATCCTGCACGCTTACAGCTCATATTACCCCAATTCCTGCACCTTCACATCTCAGATCAGCCCCAATCCCTGCATCTCTACACCTCAGCTCAGCCCCAATCCCTGCATCTCTACACCTCAGCTCAGCCCCAATCCCTGCATCTCTACACCTCAGCTCAGCCCCAATCCCTGCATCTCTACACCTCAGCTCAGCCCCAATCCCTGCATCTCTACACCTCAGCTCAGCCCCAATCCCTGCATCTCTACACCTCAGCTCAGCCCCAATCCCTGCATCTCTACACCTCAGCTCAGCCCCAATTCCTGCACCTCCAAGCCTCAGATCAGCTGCAATTCCTGCAGCTTCACACTGCAGATCAGCTCAAATTCCTGCACTTTCACGCCTCAAGTCAGTTCCAATTCCTGCACCTTCACACCTCAGATCAGCTCCAATTCCTGCACTTTCACACCTCAGGTCAGTTCCAATTTCTGCACCTTCACACCTCAGATCAGTCCCTATTTTTGCACCTGTAAACCTCAGTTCACCCAAATTCCTTCATGCACCCCCCTTTGTAATGTACAGCGCTGAGCGAACTATTGGCGCTTTATAAATACTGTATAATAATAAAAAATAATAATTTTCACAACCCAGATCAGCCCTAATTCCTGTCTTTTCAGTCCTCAGATCAGTCCCAATTCCTGCATTTTCCCACCTCAGATTACCCAAATACCTGCATCTTTACACCTTTGATCATCTCCAATTCCTGCACCCTTACAACTCATATCACCCCAATTACTGCACCTTCACACTTCAGCTCACCCCAAATCCTGCACTTGCACACCTCAGATCACCTCCATTCCTGCACTTTCACACCTCAGCCCACCCCAATTCTGCACCTTCACACCTCAGATCAATCCCAATTCCTGCACCTCCAGGCCTCAGATCAGCCCCAATAACTGCACCTTCTGGCATAAATGGACCAAGCCATTTCTACATAGATGCTCCAGAAATGAACACCAGCCAATGCTCTGGTCAAGACAGCACCGCCTGTACCATGCAGTAGAATTGGAGAATAGAGTCTCAGTTCCTGCAGTTCCTAATTCATAGTTCTAAGGTGGTAGTTACCAATATATGTTTTGAAGTTGTAGTTCCTAATAGAATAGTTCCTTCTATTTGGAAGCCACGGTGAATGTCAGCAGCAGGAATCTGTTACCTGGAGCCACCAAGCCTGTATAGTACACTTTTATGGTAAGTTGCTAGTAGCTGCCGCTATTTGTGGCTTTTCACACAACTGGCAATTACCTGTGGTGATCGCTGCTGAATGCACACAAAGTATGTGTTTAGCAGCCATCACCGCGATAATCACTGACTGTGTGAACAGTCAGGAATAACTGCAGCACCCAGTAACCTGTCATAATGTACTGTACGGGCTTGGCGACTGCAGCAAACTACTCAGATTCCTGCCACTGCCATTCGCACCGTGGCTAAAAATCTTTAAAATAAGTTAAAGCTGATCTATTATTTTTTGTAAAACTTTTCCTAGTAATCACTGCCATAAGTTATTTTTTTTTTAAATTTTATTTTCCAGTGTGGTCCTATTCATTTTAAACCACTTGCCATTTTGGCATGCCTTTTACCCTGACCTGTATTGTGAAATATTAAGTTAACATTGCTGATCTATCCATTTATCTTTTATATTTTTTTGTTATAGCTGGGTACAGAATTTTGGTGCAGAAGGTCTTTCCTGTCTATTGGAAATCCTCAGGAGGCTACAAGAAGATCATTCAATGTAAGTATGGACATTTGGATGGTTTAATGCTCTCCATTGTATAAGGCCTCATGCACACTGTGACCTTATGAATGCCTTTCAGAAAGTAGGGCTAAAAACGGGCCTAAAGTCGCATTTTTCAAATATGTTTTTGGCGCCTTTAGAAGGGTTCATATGCGTCAAGCATTTGGGTGTTTGTTCATTTCATTTGCCAGAATATTCATTTATTGTGGCCATTAAAATAAATACTCAAGTGCTAAACATACCTACATTTTGGTGCACAAGGTTTTTTTTTTTGCCCAAACACTCCTCTTCTGAATACAATTTTGGTGCATTCAGATTTCTGCCTCTAAACTCCTATAAATTCCTGTGTACATGGACACATAGGCTAACTTAGGGGCATTTAGAGACAAAAAAAATGTAAAAGGCCTTTGAAAAGGGCGTTTTTTAGTTGATGTGTGCATGAGGTCTAAATATCATGAGTTAGTTATTGAACTACTAATTCACTGTGAAGTACAACTAGCCAAAAGGGGTTATTGGGAAGGTAGGGCCTAATTTCCTGACTTGATTGTTCTCTTATCTTTTTTTTTTTTTTTTTTATAATTTAAATATTTATTAATTTTCCATTTTAATTACATTTCATCATCACAATATAAATATATATATATAAAAATATATTCTATAATATTATATTAACCAACATTTCTACTTTATATACTCTATGCAACCTTTCCCCCCCTTCTCCACCCCCCACCCCGTATCCCCTCTGCCTATTCTATCTTTTCTCTGCGTCTTCTTGTATCAGCAAGTGGAAATTTTTCTGTTATCTTTATTCTTTCCTACATCTCATATATAATCTAGCTTTTTCCCAGTTCTCCCATTTCCCATAATAAACCTCCATCTTATCTTCTTGGGTATGGCACAACCTTTCCATCTTTTTAATCTGCTCGACTCTTTCAATCCAGTCCTCTTCCTTTGGTGCCTCTATTTGCCTCCAGAACTTGGGTATCAGGGCTTTTGCAGCGTTTATATAGTACCATATCCCTGATTTTTTATATTTATTTACCGTTATATCCGTGATGTGCAAGATACATACTTCTGGATCTAGATTTATATCTATTCCTGTCAATTTTCTTATTAAGTGGATTATTGTTTTCCAGAATATCTGGATTTTTGGGCATCCCCACCAAATATGGTATATTGTGCCTATTTCTCCGCATCCCCTCCAACACAGCGGTGTACTCTCTCCACACATCTTATTTTCTACTATTGGTGAAATGTGCCATCTTGTCAAACACTTATAGTTCATCTCTACTTCTCTCATAGAGACATTTTCGTGAGTTAATCTATACATTCTCCTCTGCTTTTCCTCATCTATCACAACTCCCCATATCCATTTCCCATTTTGTTAAGTATGTTGGTTTCGTGTTTGTGTCTAGTTCAGTGAGTATTTTATAAAACTCTAGCAATCCCGTGTTTCCCATCACCTTGTGTTCCCAATGTCTTTTCGAACAAGTTCCAATTGTCTCTTGTCCTTAAAGGTCTTGGCAAATTCCGACAAAACACACTCAATTGGAAATACCGCCATTCATCTAATTTAGTGAAAATCTCTCCCTCTTTTTTTTTCAATTCGCCAAATGCTCCTATTTCGTCTCCCACCAAGATATCTCCTAATTGCACCTTATCTTTTTTTAAACCACTTCCCTCCTATTTCTTCTCTACCTGGGGGGAAAAACTCTGTATTTTTTAGTGGAATCAGTGTAGAATTAAAAGTCCATTTCATACTTCTGTGTAAGTTATCCCAAATCTTTAAAAACATTCAAAGTGTATGTATTTACATTGTCATTTAAACCCCTATACTGTGTTGGCACCCATATCATTCCCAAGTCTATTCCACTGAGTTCATTCTCTATTCTCACCCAGCTTTTTTTTATTATTAAATATCCAATCTATGGTTCTTGCCAGTATTACCGCTTTGTAATATCTTTTAAAGTCTGGGAGCCCTAAACCCCCTCTTTCTTTCCTCCTACTTAGCAGTTCGTATGACAGTCTTGGTTTTTTATTCCTCCATATGTATCTTGTTATCAATTTCTTAATTATTTTAAAGAAAATCTCTGGGAGTTTAATTGGGATCATTTGATATCTATATATGATTTTTGGTACTATTACCATTTTTACCAGATTAATACGACCCATCCATGTCAGGGTTCCTCCCTCCAATCTTTTAATTCATCTCTAATTCATTAATCAGTGTAATATAGTTTAGTTTTATATAGATGTTTATGTGAGGCTGTGAGTTTTACTCCTAGATATTTTATATCTCTGTCTTTCCATTTAAAGGGAAATTCTTTTTGTATCTTTTCTTTTTCGTTTTTTTTTAAGATGTTTATATTTAGAATCTCCGTTTTTGTTGGATTTATCTTTAAATTTGATAGTTCTCCGTACTCCTTTAGTGACTTCATTAAGTTTGGAAGTGTTATCCTGGGGTTTCCTACATAGAACAACAAGTCGTCTGCAAAGGCAGCAACTTTATGTTCCGTATCTCCTATCAGGATTCCCTTTACGTCTCTATTCAATCTTATTGTTGACAATAGAGGTTCTAGAGATATAACATACAGCAATGGGGACAATGGGCATCCCTGTCTTGTTCCGTTTGACATCTCAATGGGTTCTGACCTCTCCCCATTTACCCCAATGACCACCGAGGGGTATCTGTACAGCTTTCCTATCCACTCTCTCATCCTAGGCCCGATTCCCAAAGCTTCCACAGTATCCATCATGAATCTCCAGTTTACCCTATCAAACGCTTTTTCAGCATCTATAGACAGTAGTACCCACCGGTTCTTTTCCCTTTTTACTCTTTTGGATTAGCATTCAATGATCGTACTCCATTATCTTTTCCTTCCCTCCCTGGAAAAAAACCCACCTGATCCTCATGTATCCATCCAGGCATTAGCTCTTTCAATCTGTTTGCTAGGACTTTTGCGTACAGCTTAGTATCTGTGTTCAATAGTGAAATAGGTCTATAGCTAGAACACTGAGAGGGATCTTTTCCCTCTTTCTGAATGAGCACGAGTTGGGCTTGTAGTGATTCTCTTCTTACTTCCATCTCTCCACCTAGTGCATTCATGTAGTTTTTGAGTTTTGGTACTAAGATTTCACAAAATTTTTTATAGTATCTCACTTTATAACCATCTGGACCTGGGCTTTTCCCCGACACTGTCCCCTTTAATGCTAGTTTTATTTCTTCCTGTGAGATATCTGCATCTAGGGAGTTTAGTTGATCCTCATTTAATTTTAATAACCTAGCCATTTCCAGATATTTCTTTCTTTTCTGATTTTTCTCACTGTCTATAGTTTCTGAACCTTCCAAGGGCTTATATTGTACAGTTTCCTGTAATATTCTATGAAGGCTTTGGTGATATCTTTATTTGAGTGTTTCATGTTTCCTTTAGCATCTTTTATTTTTTCTATATAATTTCTATTTTTCTTTTTCCTCAAGGCTCTCATCAGATACTTTCCAGGTCTTTCTCCCCCATCTATATCTCTCACTTAAAACTCTATTATATACTTTTCTCCTCTCCTCTTCTATCATTTCTTTCAGTTCTTCCTTCTGTTTTTTTAACTTCAGCTCTATTTCTTTTGTTATTCTATTCTTATGTATTTGTTCTTAATTTACCTATTTCTTCTAAGAGCTCATTCATTTTCTCCCTTCTTTCTTTTTTCTTTCTTGCCCCAATCGCCATTAATATTCCTCTTATATAAGCTTTATGTGCCTCCCACACTGTGGCTGTTGACACCTCCCCTGTCTGATTCTCCTTAAAAAAAGCGTTCGATCTCCTCCCCTATTTTCTGAGCTATTTCCCTTTCCACTAAAAGTGTCTCATTCAATTTCCATCCCAGCCCTCCGCTTTTCCTTCTCCCCCATTCCATTTTCATAGTAACTGGAGCGTGGTCTGACAAAGATATTGTCTCTATGTCTACCTGGGTCAGGTGGTCAATTAATTGATGTTCTATTAATATATAATCTAATCTTGAATATCTCTTATGCATATTTGAGAAAAAAGTATAATCTCTATCTTGCGTGTGTGTAATTCTCCAGGCATCTACCAATTGACTTATGTGTAGTTCTTTTTTCAATAATTTCAGGGCCTTACTTCCTTCTGTCTTTATATGGGAGGTGGCGTCCCTTTGTGGGTCCATACAAAAATTAAAGTCCCCTGCCAGGATCAAACGTCCTTTTTTAAAGTCCATCAACTTCCTCAACACCTTTTTCAGATACTCCTCCGGTTTTTTTATTAGGACAGTAAATGTTAGCCAGTGTACACTCGATCTCCTGTAACTTGCCCCTTAAGAACAACAAAAATCTCCCATCTGGGTCTGTTTTTCTGTCTTCCAACTCGAACCTAACGTTCTTTGCCAGGCCTATTGCTACCCCTTTTGCTCTTTTAACCGGGGAATCTGCATAATACCATGTTGGGTGATTTTTAGACCTCAGCCTAACATTTGAACTTATCTCAAGATGTGTCTCCTGTAAAAATATCACTGAGGCATCTCTATGGTGTAATTCTTTAAATAATCTATATCTTTTCCGGAACAGTTCAACCCATTTATGTTATATGTTATAAACTGAATCTCTTCCATCTTCCTTAAAATTTCCTCTTTTCTCCTCCATCTATATTTTTTATTTTTCTCTCTCCTTCTCCCTTCTCACTTGCTTTTATATCATCTTTTATTTTGCAGAAAAAAAAACAACCTCCCTCTCCCATTTCCCACCCTTCCAACCCTCCAACCCCCCTCCCTCCCCCCTCCCCTCCCCCCTCCCCTCCCCCCTCTTTTTAGGCCCTAACATTTGCCTACTAATCATTTATGGATTAAAAATCCACCTTTGATTTGGTCCTTGGGCTAAGACTCCGTCCATGGACGACTTTCCCCTTGTCTAACCTCCCCATAACCTCCCAAGCCTCCCTGGATTTATCACTGGCAGAAAAGAGAAGAAAAAATCCATAACTAAGGCAATAGAGTGGGGGTAGAAGGTGAGAGGAGGAGAAAAAAAAAAAAAAAAAAAAAAACCTCTCTCTTTCCCCATCCCCTCCCCCCCCCCCCACCTCTCCCCCCCACACATTGCCAGTTCTCTTTTCTCTTCGCTCTACTTTCTCATTGTTCTTCTTCCCAGCCAGGGATTTCCGTTCTTTGAATTTTTAAACTATCACAAAAATTTTTCATATCTTCTGGAAACCTAAGGTATGCTGTAGTCCCATTTTTCCATCCTATTAAACATTCGGGAGTCCCCCATCTATATTGCACATTTTGTTCTTTCAACCTTTCCAGTAGGGGTCTCAAAGTTCTCCTTCTCCACAAAGTCTCTGGAGCCAGATCCGCATATATCTGTATGTCTCCTCCTTCATACTTAATTACTGATTTTCCCTTAGTCTTCTTCCAGATTTTTTCTTTGTCCCGAAGTTCATAGAATTTAACAATTATATCTCTCGGCCTTTCTTTCCCCAGGTTTCTCAGGATTTTTCCTTTTCTAAAGGTTCCTTCTTTTTAGACCTTTCCATTTCAGAGCTGTCTGTTATAATGTTAAATATTTTACAAACCACCTCTTGCAGACTTTCTCCCTTTAAGTTTTCTGAGACCCCACGTATCAAGATGTTTCTTTTCCTGTCTTTATTTTCTTGTATCTCAGCCTTATATAACAGTTTTTCTTGGATTTTCCCTATATTAGTTAGTTCTTTTTCAAGTTCAGAGATAGCCTGGGTCTGACCTTTAACTTTCTCCTCCGTTTCCTCAACTCTCTCCAAGAGGGTGTCCCAGATCACTGCGAATGTTTACCATTTATTGTTTTATTGTTTTCTCCAGTTTCTTTAAACATTTCTGCCATTTCCTTTTTATTAGGTATTTGTAGGTCTTTTTCCGCCTCTGTATTGCCTGATATTTGCTGGTTACTAGTATCAGGGCCTATTGATACTCTAGGGCTTCTTTCCATACTAAGGTCTGCTTCTCCTTTTTCAGGTCTGCTCTGAGGTCTTTCTGGGGTTACGTTTCCTTGGGATGTATATTTTTTAATTGTGCCAGTCTGGGACCCTTTAAGCCCACTTCCTTTTACATTCTTGTTTTTCATCTTTCTCTGTGGCGCTTATCCTTCTTATAGTCCTTTATAAATTTTGTGGGTAGGGCGGGATATTATTTTCTTTAAACTTTCAAGTCTCTGCCCTGTCCCCCTGCTGGTTTTTCTCCTTCTCTTCTCTTCCTCCTCTTCCTTCACCCCTCTCCCCCTCCTTCCCCCCGAGCCTCTCCTCTTCTCTCTGCGAACCTCTTCCACCTTTTATACAGTCTCTAGGGGTCCCCCCTTTCATATACACTCTATTTCTTGGATGTCAGCCTAATAAATCTTCAAATGCAATTCACATCTGTCACTCACCCTCCTCCTATGTCTTCTTCCAGTGAGTGCCTTTTCGGTCGATTCCTCTGAGGGTCTGTTCATGGGGGGGGAACTCCCCAGGGTCTCTTCAGACTCCTTGTCCAGGTCTCAATGGTTCTCCTTCCACATTCTTTTAGGCTCCTGGGTTACTAGGGGGATAGGGGAGAGTGTGTCGGCCCCGGCAAACAGGTCGGCGCTGCTCTCTCCCCGCAAAACGCCGGCCGGCCGGCTTCCTGATCTCCCAGAGGTGCCTTGCGGCCGGTCACGTGATCGCGCCGGCCCCTCTCGTCTATCCAGCGTCCAGGGACTCTCTCTTCCCCAGTCACCAGCCGCTCCTCTCTCTTCCCTCACCCGCATCTGTCTCTCCTCCGCCGGGAGCCTTCAGACCGGGTAAAGTCCCCCGCCGCAGGGCTCTAACATGCCTCAGGGGATAAGCTTGGAGGCCTGGGGAGGTCAGACAACGGAGCTCCGTCCACGAGCTCCTACATTGAGCTCTCCCCTGCCGCCCATGTTCAGGCTCCGCCTGATTGTTCTCTTATCTATCAGACAGCTAGTTAACAATTTAATTGTGCTATTACTGCATCTACCTTTTTATGTGTATATGATCTCCAAAATGATCCCTTAGTTTCAGCATTGTCTGAACCACTGTCTCAATATCAGATGTTTGCCCCCACGCTGATTTTACTTGCTGATTCCTTGTTCAGAATCATTGACCAAAAAAAATGCGGAAGAGAAAGCCAGGCAATTAGCTTTATCAGAAGAATCTGAGCAACTGCAGTTTCCATATTTTCCCCGCTTGAGAAAAATCTCTCAAGCGGGGAAAAAGGTGGCAATGAAAACTTCAGAGAGGTTCTAATCCTTCTTGCTTGAAGAAAATATTAGTAAGGTTCCAACTTGGGTCGGAGCCGCACCTATTTCTAATGTAGTGCATGCACTACTTTTGGTGCGATTTATTTAGACATCTGTATCTGAAATCGGCATATCATCTGACTTTGAAATCGTGTGACTTCATTGTAACTCACACACAATTTCAAAGTATGGATTGATGTGTCTGGGGTGTAAGTGGATTCAAACCTAGATCTGTACGCCGATAAAAAACAAACAAACACAAAACAAAAAATGGGGCAAACTCAACTCGTACCACTTTGTCCTCGTTTCCTGCCATCACTCTTCTATGTTTCTGTATGTAAACTGGTAATTGCTGAACAAAATAGCATCTAAACACACAAATTAGCCATTCATTTTTGTTCTAAGATTTATTTATTAAAATCATCATTTATTTCTTCATCCTTTATTATAGGTCTCGTGACTCTAAAAGTGAGCATGAAATCATCAGATGTTTAAAGGCTTTCATGAACAATAATGTAAGTATAATTAATGGCCTGAAGTGTATCACATTTAGGGCTCTTGTACATGGGTCAGCTGAGCCCATTCAGCCTAACTGCAGCTGTATTTTCCACTACCCTAGCAGCCCAGGAGCAGCATACAACCTGTCATTAACATGAATGGCTGTGTACTCATGATTACGAAAGCACTGCCTTATGCAATAAATGCAGCGGTGTACAGCCATTCATGGTAATGAAAGATTGTACGCTGCACTAGGGTAAAGGATATATGGCTGCAGTTGCATTGAATGGGCTTAGGTGTCCCATATGCAAGAGGCCTCATTCAATATGTGAATCTGAATGGTTCTTTTCTGTGGTACAGTCTGATTTGCTGACTAGCTGCTAATTGGCAGTGTTTTCCCCAGAAAACCTAATTTCCGAACACTATTAGATGTTGAATTTTGAAGCACAACACAGTATAGTGCTGTACTAGTGAGCAGAGCATACCCCACAGTGTTTTAGAGCAGGCAGAATGGGTTAGGGCTCATTTACATGATGTGGGTTACCACACTTGGCATATTTTGAAGAAATGCCTTTGTTTTTATGCTCTGTAGACAGATTCGTTGTCTTAGAACAAACCTCAGAAATGCCCCTAAAAACACATAAATTATTGGCTTAGAGCTCGTTCATTACAATAAAAATGAAATGAAATATGGATATTTAATAGTTATATAAATTTTGAAATACAATATTCTGTTAAAGACTCTCTTGGACCAGCCACAACCCTGTGCAGTTCAAACTGACCAAATGGTGAAAAAAAGTGACCTAGCAGGGTTATCTTTTACCACATATCAAAACCGTCTAGCTCTAGTTGAACTAGAGAATAGAGACAGTGGCAATTGTATGGGAATATTGACGTTTCCTGTAAAAGTTCGAGCCTGAACCCATCTCCTCTACCCTAGAGTAGATGGGTTCAGGTGCCTCTTCATCAGAGAGGCACCTATCACTTTGAAAGGACCAGTAGGGAGGTTGGTGGGAGGCAAAAGGATGAGCCACAGAATACTTGTTCCAGAAGGGTGAAATTTCCAAGCGATTGGCATGTATATCTAAATCTAGTAATTCTTACGATGTGACGATTTCTGTGCAAATAAACTGCTGCATCTGCGTTTTATACACACTACTTTGAAATTATATGGATACCAATTAAATAAAAAAATAAAAGTTGGGCACAAGTTGAAACAGCAGATGGAGTCTCTGAGGTCACTTTTGAAGTAAGTTATGGCTCAGCTGCAGTCATTTTTTTTCTGACCTATATCTTTGTGGATGCAAAAGATGGTTTAATTATGTACATGTACCTATAAAAGACAGCAAATGGACTGATTTCTGTGCAAAATAGGTTGACTTTGTTCTATTATTTTTTTTTTATGTGCCCTTAACTGAGAATGGACCATGTTTTAAAAATGGCAGACAGATATCTGTACAGTATATAACATTTTGTGGACCATTTTATTTTAAATAACAGGTATATGATTGCTAGTGGCCACTGTGAGTGATTAATGCATCGGAATCTTTTAGTGAATTAGAAATCCAATCATGGTCCTCCAGTCATTGGCTTCTATAGTATACTTACCCCTGGTTCACATATATGTGGCCGTGCAAGCCGCATTTTGCGTGGGCACAAGAGCCCATTCATTTGAATGGACTCCCGTGACACGCAGGAAAGAAGTCCCTGCACTTCTTCTGAAAACGCAGCCTACACGGGAACCTCGGTTCTCAGTACGGTTGTGTCTTCCAGTGCGGGCGGCGTTCCATTAGAACTAATGTCACCCGGCCGCGGGTCCGCATTCCACTGTGCAGGTGGTGCGGCTGCACGGATTTTCATGCGGATCCGCAGCCCCACCACCTGCACATATGTGAACCTAGCCTTAATCTAGTTTCTAAACAGATGTAGAACAGCAGAGCACACATAACATTGGAGTGTATATACATACTGTATACTGTAAGGGCTCAAGTCATTAGGCTGATTGAGCTACTTGAACCAGGGGTGGACTGACCATTTGGAAACTCGGGCACTGCCCGAGGGCCCGGGGTCAGTAGGGGGCCTCATGAGATGCCCCTGGTACCTTTTTCATAGGCTTTTTTTGAGTTTGGGCAAGGACACAGGGGCCCCATGATCCCCTATTGCACGGGGGCCCCCATGAGTTGTCAGTCCGCCCCTGACTTGAAATGTGCTTGTTTTATCTCATTATTTTTTCAGTTAACATGCAAGTATTGCATAGATATGCAATAGTTAATTTTTACATGACAGTTTAACTATTGAAAGCCTTCTGATTAATCTGTAATTGATTTATAAAGTCCTTTTTGGCCACCTGGAGCGGATCTCTTTTGTGTTATTCTGAATGGAACACACTTTATCAAACTTCCCAATAATTGCCAGTCAGAAGGAAGCATTATTTCAAGAGCAAAATCCAATGATAATCTGATTTTCTGTGATAATCTTTACAAACTGTGTTTTGTACAAAATACCACATATAACATTATGATGGTAAACTCCATGAACCTTACCATACAAAAGAAAACACCACATTTGAATTAAATACTGCATGTTTGGAGTGGATTGACTTATTGGTATGTTGTACTGTATAGTCTATTGGTATTTCTTAACAAGTTTGTCTCATCTCCATTTATAGTTTGGAATAAAAACAGTACTGGAGACAGAAGATGGGATCCGGCTTCTGGCAAGAGCCGTGGACCCCACAGTCCCTGCCATGATGGTTGATGCTTTGAAACTGCTGTCTGCTCTGTGCATTCTTCCCCAGCCTGAGGACATGTAAGTTTAGGATTCCAAATTAATTTTTGTATTTCCCTTTTCTAACAGTAGATGGTGCCATAGACAGCTTGTTGCTTTTTCCTCTTGGGCCCACAGGTAGTGCCAGTTGCTTTCACTGCTTGCTGTAGGCTCAATATGATCCAAGTGATATGTTCTTTTAACAAGCAATACAACAGAAATGTTGACTTTGACTGCACACAGTTTTAATTATGCTGCAGTAGAAGCCAATGGACTGCATAGTTAGGGTTGCTGCAGAACCATTTCTCTCTTTTGATTATAATCAAAAGAAATTAAAAGAGAGGATAAGATGTAAGGCAAAAGTCCTTAATCCTTTTACACTCAGGAACCTGATTTATTTTTAATACTTGTTGGTAAGCCACATTTGGTATGGAAAAGTTACTAGAGTAGGAGACTAGATTGCGTTCTTTTACTAAAACTGAACTGTGCATAAAAATGCAGAAATGTGAAAGATCACTGTGCATATTATCAGAAAAAGTATGTTTAACTTTTGAGCTCTTTGTTTTGTAGTTTTGACCTTACCCTTTTCTGTTGGGCACAGTAATAGCCCTCTGTGCTGGAGTCCCTTGCAATAGGGATTATTCTCCATCTGCCTATTTTTGTGTATGTGATAGGCATAGACTGGGTCAAACCTTTAAACAGAAGCTCATTGTATCTTTAATGATATCGGGCAGTGTTCCTGTCCATCCATAAGGTAGATCCCTGGTTCTATCAGTCTAGTAGGCACCTCCACTGGTGTTTGATTTACTTCCCAGAGCATCATGGGGCCTCCATATACTGTGGTACTCTGCTATGCAAATAGTCCATTGTTGCCAGTTCTACTCACCACCTCTTGTCTCTTGCACCATTTTCATGTTTGACCTCATTAAGCAGTACTATTTCACAAGAGGAGGAAGTTACTGAGCATATCTAACAACCAGTAAGTGTGCTGGTGCCCTAGAAGAGAAGCAATCCGATGCGAAAAAATCTGAAGTTAAAGCTGAACTATAGGCACAAAAACATTAAATATATTTCTTTTCAACAGCCGCAAAGATTTTAAATCCACTTGTGTGCACTAAATGTCTTTGCAAACCCAGTGAAATCACTGTGCTGTACAGTCTGAGCAGAGAGCATAACTGTGGGAGGAGCTCTGTAGGCTTCACCAACAACAGGCTGCCTGCAGAAACCTACAGGAGGGGACTAAGATGAGACCAGTCACCCTGCACAAGGAGAGAGAGCAGCAGTGACTGGTCTTATTACAGGAAATGTGTACACACAGAGAAAGTTTCACACTGGATGACAGCACGAATCTGGCAGAAATACACAAACCATAGCAAAGATTCAAGTAAGAATACACGCGACCTTGTTATTTAGATGATATTTGCTTATTCTGGAGTTCCACTTTAGGCACATGTCTAAAAATCTACATTTATAGATGTCATGGTAGAAAATTGGTTAATCCAAGCTCACAACTGCTTGCCCGATCACTTTTACAGGGCACCCTAATTCCCTGATCCCTTCTGCTACTAATGACCCTAGAAGTGACATGTATCATCCGGGATCACAGCTTTCATTCCTCGGCTGGTGTAACTATTGGTGTTTGGTTGCATTGATGGGCATGGGATAAACTGGAGGCCCTGTCACCTGCCCATGTTATTGCATGTCTTGATAGTCCCATTGTGATAGCAATAAATGAAAAAAAAAAATGTGTAAAAAAAATAAAAACATATTTATCGCATTGTAGAAGGGAAGAAGATCCAATTCTACTGATTAGGGTTACTACACAAGAGCTGTCATTATTCTTTGGTGAAGAGGCATGGATTCAGTCTTTAATACGCATGTTGGCTCTCTTGGTAAAAATATATTACTTTCATAAAGAAAATATGCCCTCCCTATTCTGCTCTCTTTGTTGAAATGTGAAAGTTGAGACCTCTGAGTAAAAGAAAAGCATGTATATTCTCTTTTGGATTTTGCTTATTCTAAAACAGTCACATATGTTTTGGCTCCAGTCTTAGATGATATTGGTCAGCTATGTCTTAAAGCAGGGGTGGGCAAACTTTGTGACTTGAGGGCCGCAATGGGTTCATATATTGGACCCGGGGGCCGGACCAAGAGTAGATGAATGATGTGTATGTGTCATCCATAGTAAGTATAGTAATATTCCCCCATAGTAAGCATAGTAATTAATCCCCCATATAGTAATTCATCCCCCATATAGTAATTCATCCCCCATATAGTAATTCATCCCCCATATATAGTAATTCATCCCCCATATAGTAATTCATCCCCCCATATATAGTATATAGTCCCCCCATATAGTTCATCCCCCCATATAGTAATTCATCCCCCCCATATAGTAATTCATCCCCCCATCCCCCCATATAGTAATTCATTCCCCATATAGTAATTCATCCCCCATATTAAGTCCCCAAGTCCCCCCTGTGTCAATTCACTTACCTTTGCTCCGCGCGTTCCTCTCGCCGTGTTCCCGCGCCGTTCCGGTGTAGCATGAAAATCTGTCTCCTATGAGGATCTGTCCCCCTCGATGTATCTGCGCATGTGCCAGTTTCAGGCATTAGCAGCCGATCGGCGATCTCCGGCACATGCGCAGATACGTCGAGGGGGACAGATCCTCATAGGAGACAGATTTTCATGCTACACCGGTCTTCAGGGCGGACTGTGAGAGGAGCCTAGCGGGAGCCTAGCTCCGCGGGCCGGATTAAAAGGTCCGCCGGGCCGTAGTTTGCCCATTGCTGTCTTAAAGTAACCCTTTCTTTACCGCTGTATATAATCACAGTGGTACCCTCATAGTCCATTCAGGCAAGCTTAAGAACACTCCTCCTTTCCACAAAACGTGCATTCCAAGCACAGTAAACAGTACCATTAGTGATATGCAATTTTAAATGTCCTATCAAAAGCTAAAGCTCACAACTTCCTCTCTAACTTCTCTCACAACTGATGTATGTAGAAAGCAATGAGATGTGACTGCCACAGGAAGCACCGAGGTGCCTCCCACTGGCTACCTAACAGCCCCCAAGTCATGGCAGATCCACCCAATCTTTTAACCACCTGTCATATAAGGAAATGATGGGAGGGTGGCAACTCTCTTGTTCTGGGAGGACTTCATATGACCACCTCCCACTCTAGCTGCGCATGCGCTCCCCGGTGATCGGTGGTGCACTGTACCCAGGACACAGTGGCTCACTGATCGCAGTAAAGAGCTGATGACACAGGCTCTATCATGTGATCAGCTGTGTCCAATGACAGCTGATCGCATGTAAATAGGAAATATCAGTTATCGGCAGTCCTCGCCTCACGCTGACAGCGTGAGAGGAGAGTTGGTAAGCGGCATTCCACAGAGGGGACATCTACACTGATCAACAGGGCACTGATCATCAGTTTTAACCCCATGAGTTCTTCTTTTAGCGACCATAATTGCCACCTGTCAGTGCCCATCAATGCCACATACCAGTGTCCCATCAGTGTATATCAGTGCACACCAATGCCACATATCAGTGCCCATCAGAGCTGCATTTTAGTGCTGCCTATCAATGCCAGTCATGGATGCCTATCAGTGCCGTCAGTCAGTGCCATTTATGAGTGGTGCTTTTCAGTGCCCATCAGTGATGCCTGTCAATTCCCACCAGTGATGCCTATCAGTGCCTCCTCATCAGAGCAGCCTATCACTGCAGCCTCATTAGTGCACATCAGTGAAGGAGAAAAACTACTTATTTACAAAATTTTATAGCTGAAACTAAGAAAAACGTTTTGTACTTTTTGTTTTTCAAAATTTTCAGTCCTTTTTAGTTTGTTTAGCAAAAAAAAAAAAAAAAAACCAGTGGTGATTAAATTCCACCAAAAGAAAGCTCTGTCTGTCTCCAAAAAAATTATAAAAATTTTGATTGGGTACAGTGTTCCATGACCGCGCAATTGTCATTCAAAGTGCGACAGCACTGAAAGCTGAAAATTTGGCCTGGGTAGGAAGGGGGTAAAAGTGCCCGGTAGGCAATTGGTTAAAAAATATTTAAGTGAGAGGGTAGCTGAGCCTCTTCACATGCCCATATATAGGACCCAATGAATGATGCCACTATATCACATACTACCAAGAAATTATATTTCAATCTTTAATGTAACGTTTGCTTTATCTTAGAAGGAAACCTTTAATTCATTCAAGCCAGGAATTCCTTTGTGATACGAACAGCTACTTCAAAACATTTTCACAGAAGAATCACATAAGTAGTGTGTTGTTGGGGCCTAAAATGGAGCCCCCAGGGAAGCATTTTAGGGCTCTTTGTGCAGTGCTTAAGCATACAGCAACAAGCAGGGGAATGGGGTTAGGGGTGTCAGACTTTTTTTCTTTATTGCTTTAACTGCCTCCCACCCGCCATATAGAAATATGACGGACGCAAGGTGGTTCTCTCGTTCTGGGAGGACGTCATATGACGTCCTCCCATTCTAACCGCGCATGCGCGGCTCCCGGAGCGCTCAGCGTGGCGATCGGCAGTGTGCTGTGTCCCTTGGACACAGAGGATCACCGATCCACGGAAAGAGCTGAAGATGTTGGCTCGGTTGTGTGATCAGCTGTGTCCAATCACAGCTGATCACATGTAAACAGGGAAATGCTGGTTATCGGCATTTCTCTCCCCACGAGCTGTCACGCTGACAGCTCGTGAGGAGAGGAGAGCCGGTAATCGGTATTCCTTGGAGGCGACATGTACACAGATCATCAGAGCACTGATGATCCATGTGCCCTGATGATCTGTGTAGCCCCAGCAGCGCCAGCTCTCAGTGCTCATCCATGCCGCCTGCCAGTGCCACATTTGTGCCACATTTCAGTGCCCGTCAGTGCCATATATGAGTGCTGCCTGTCAGTGCCCATCAGTGATGCCTGTCAATGCCCATCAGTGCCACCTACCAGGTCCTCATCAGTGCCACCTATCCGTGTCCATCAGTGCAGCCTACCAGTGCCCATCAGTGCAGCCTCATTAGCACACATCAGTGAA